TGTTGTGGAAGGGCTTTCTGCAAGTGATGGATTACTGAAACTAGTGAGTGCTACTTTCTAATGGTATTTTTTTAGATTTTAGGTGTTGTTAAAAGCACAACAGACATTTCTGCAGCAACAGAATTGTGCTCATTTTCTTTCACACTATATTGTGGTCATATTTTTCAGAATTTGCTCTTTTCTCATGACTCTTTGGAATGTACACTGGGAAGCCAGAAACTCTCAGACTTACCTGAACCATATACGTTTCAGATGCTTTATAAATATATCTGTAGTTTTTTTCTTTTTTTTCCAAAACACATATTGGAAAAATTCAAGTATCTGGGCTGCCTTGTGAACCACTGTAGTCCCCGTGAGCTAGAGAATATTTCCTTAGTGTCATATACCTGTATCTTTCTGTGCCAGTTTTCCACATACAGGTATACATTCAGCTGCCATAGGTGTGGATGTGAAGTTGAAATACCTCCAGGACAACTGACTTCTAATGGAATACTGGATTCTGTGTAAACACTTGGGAAAACAAACTCAACCTTATTTGACTAATTTTCGTAACTGGATATATGTAACACAAGAGAAAGCTTTAATCTGGCAGTATGGTATTGTTGTTGTTAGCAACAGAATAAGTTCCTATCCTTCAGACCCAGCACAGGCTAGCTTTTTCCCTGTCATCTTGAGTCCCAAAAGCTGCTGGAAGATGCCATCATACAAAATGCCAAGAAATAGTACAGGTTATTGTGGGAAGACTGGAGGCTTACTTCGCAGTCATGTTCTCTTTCAAGAGACATACCATATGTTTTAGGTGGGGTTTTGTTTTTTTTTTATGTCGGCATACTCATAGTGATCTTAGCTGCTGGTTTAGAAACTGGCTGAGTCGGGGAGTTGTAGACGCCTCAGTGTTCCCATTGGTGCTATTCATTTTTTTGCTCTGTGCAGTAATACAATGTCTTCAGTTGTTTCGTTACCTGAATTATCAAGATAAAGCATTTTCGTGCTCCTATCAGGCTTACAGCCTCCTGGGGCCCATGGGCTCAGGCTCTATAGGACGCACAGCTGTAGCTGATATGAGACAGATTTGCAGAGCTGGTGTAAGGCAACACTGCAGAAGTGGTAAGTGGCCCCTCTTTAACTCCACCACATTGCACTTCGATTACTCAAGATGTTTCTCTGCCTCACTGCCTGCAATAGCGTTTGGTGTGGTACAATAGGAACAGCAGAGTCTCAAAAAGCTGTGTGGATCTAAGGGGCCAGCTGGTTCTGCACTCCCTCACTCGGCTTTATCAGTAGAAATTCCTTCCTTGCTGATCGAATGACCAAGGGAAAATTATCTCTTTTTAAAACAGTTCACATTTCTTTGGATTCAGTTTCAAATTGGCATTCTTAAGCTTATCACAGACCATTTATAAATGCACCAGTTCCTGACTGAAAGATTTAGCGTGTACCAAATTTGTTATCCATCTCGGACAAACAGTCTGAAAGAGGCACATGCCATACAGTACATTCTCCATAAGCCATTTAAAGGTAGCAAGAGTGCTGCATAATCTAGAAAACATTATTTAAAATTGACAGAATCTTTACCCTATCATAAAACCAGCTGCCTTCTGGGCTTTTGGATTTTCTTCTGTGTTCCTTGACCCACTTAAGATCAGTGTAGAAATCCAGCTAACCTTTTGGTAACATCAAAAGTATCCAAGCGCTAGTTAAAACTCTCTCTGATCCAGTGGGGCTCAGGCACAAAAGCTGCAATTGGTCGCAGCTTCCTAAACAGAATGAGAATCAACTGACAGGTGGCAATTGCTTGGTTCACTCTTTAAATCTCCTTCTCTCCCGCATTTATGCAGGACCATGAGCTCAGTAGTTGTTCAGGCTTGTCCTTGGCTTCTTTCTCTCTGTGCTTCAGTGATATGTTTCTGTTCTCTCCCTCTGACCTTTTTTATTCTTTCTACTACAGTGATGCACAATATGTGTCTTGTCTGAAACAGTGGTATTGTCTGTGTGACTTGGATGAAGGCTGCTTTCACTGTAGCTTTCCAGCATCACAGAAAATCTTCATTACTTCCCATGTTTTCCTTGATGAAAGCCGACTGCTGTGACTGACAAAGTTGGCCAGCCTGGTCCCACTTGGTGGTAGTAGAGGCTACATGTAACAAGGGATAGAAATATCTTGAAGTAACTTCTTAATCTTGTACCACTACCATAATAGTCATACTTCTCTTTTTACAGCAGCTTGTGGCAGAAATGTATGAATAATAAAAGCAGGTTTTTTTGCCAAAATTTTGTTAAATCATCTCTGAAAGGGAAAATGACTGAGCGGTGTGCTTGGATATCTTTATATTGGTTTTGCAGTGTTCCGCATCACGGCCAGCAGAAATTAAAAACCTTCAGTCAAAACATACTGTACACAGAAAAAATTTCTGAGATGATTGTACTGTTGCTAGTCACAGTGATACAATGCAATGGCATTACTGTGTGATGCTACCAAACCTGTTTGTGACCTTGAAACCAACAGAGTTTTTGTTTGGCTTCCACTCCTTCAGTTCATCAAAAGCATAAAATAGTGAAGGTGAGTTGTTGTATGTTGCACTGAACTGGCAGCTGCCCAAGGACAATCTGCTCCCTATCTGCTGCTGGTAGTTTTGGGTGTGTGCAGCTGCTTCACTTCCACTGCTCTCTGTGTGTGAATCTGAGCAGCAAGAAAAACTGGAAGAAATTGCTTGGCCCTTTGCCACCTCCTCACCTTGAAGAGCAGCCGGTGTCTGTAGCAAGTTGTAACCACTTTAGTGAAAATCCTGCCATGTTTTGTTTGCAGAGGCAAATGACTGACATTTTCCTTTGACAGATCTTGAGTTTTAACCCCAGCTGGCATCTCAGCCTCACACAGCCACTCGCTCACTCCTTCTTGGTGAGACGGGGGAGAGAATGGAGCACGTAAAAACAAGAAAACTCATGGGTTGAGATGAAGATAGTTTAATAATTAAAAAGCTAATTACAGCAAAAGCTATGGATGCAAGTAAAGCAAAGCAACGAATTCCTTCACCACTTCCCATGAGCTAGCAGGTGTTCAGCCATCTCTGTGAAAGCAGAACTCCATCACACATAATGGTTACTTGGGAGCACAAATGCCATCACTCTGAATGTCCGTCCCTTCCTTGTTCTCCCCTCCATCTTTGTATGCTGAGCATGATGCACTATGGTATGGAATATCCTGTGGGTGAGTTGGGATCAGCTGTCTCAGCTCTGTCCCCTCCCACTTCATGCACATTCAGTCTCCTTGTTGGTGAGTTGGTGTGAGAGGCAGAAGAGGCCCTGACACTGTAAACACTGCTCAGCAGTGATGAAAACATCTCTGTTTTATCAACACTGTTTCCAGTCCAAATGAAAAACATAGCCCGCACCAACTACTGTGAAGAAAATTAACTCTATCTCAGCCAAAACCAGCACAACAGGACAACTGACTTTGTCACCACATTTGTCTGGGCTTGTCACAGCTATTTGAGTGTCTAGAAAGAGGCACAAAACAGTACCAGCCTTGGATGAAGTGTGGAAGTGGAGGAAAGTGTTTCCATCTGGGACTGTATAAGTTGTTCTGGAGTCCTCTGTACCAAGGCCCAGAGGCAAGCACATAGCCTGTACCAAAACTACTGTACCTTACAGTCATCTCCTCTTCCCTTTGAATAGCATTGCAGAATGAAGGTAAGCAAAGTGCTTTTCCATGCTCCTGTCTTCTGATCCAACTGCAGAGTTTCCTGACAGCTGTGCATGAAATCTCTCTGGGCTACCTGCTATGGGGTGCTCTGTGATCCTGCTCCCAGGACACCTGGACAGACAATGGCTCTAACTGGTTGTGGTCTCTGCTCAGGAGACCAGGGAGAAGGCAAGGAGGTGCTCACATTTGCTGCTTGTCCAATGTCAGGACACAGCACATGGAAACCTGGGAACTCCAAAACCCCCCAGCTTCCAGCTTGGGAGAGACAGAGTAGCCTTCTCCAGCATCACAAGGGCGGAGGGACTTGGGACTGAGAATTCTTTCTTTGCTGTCTGTAGTCCTGCAATAGACTCAGCTGCAGCAGTAGGACTCATCTGACCCCTCTGGGTGCATTTCCCATTTTTTCTGTGTTTTCTCAGAGGAGTTAATAGGTTTCTTCCCCCTCAGAAGTCACTGAAGCTATTATGTACAGCACAGCTGAGCTATGTAACAGCTGTTCTTCTATAACCCATAAAGTTTCATAATTTCATTAGAATGAGACTGAGCTTTCATGTAGATTTTTAAATTTTAAATTTTTCTATAAGAAAAGAAGCAGTAAGTAAAGCACATCTTGTTTGCAGTATTGGCTGCCACAATTTTTTTTTTTTAAGATTTAGAAATAAGACAAAAGTAACCAAGACAACCCTTACCCTAAGCTACAGAATCCCTACTAATAACATTGAAAAAGAAGTTGATAATATTGATCCCTTGTGTACTAGTAGTTAAACTTCAAAAATCAATTGAGAGGAAAGCTTAACTGGCCTTTCTGTAGTATCAGAAAGCAAACCCAAATCCCAGACATAGAATTTTTACAGCTATGAATATAGGAGATGATTTTCAGACAATGTCAAAACTACCATTTAATTCCCTTTCCTTCAGGAGAAAGCTTCTATGAGGTGCACTTGGAAAGGAATCCCTGAGTATACTAGACATACTTCTGTGCAAACCAAGAAGTAGCTTTGCAGAGTGGCGTGCATAAGGAGTGAGTCCAGAGTGATCAGCAAGGACACCAGTTGTGCCATCACTTCTGCTTTGAATGACTTTAAACCTTTGTCCTGTTTGTTCAGGCAAATTCAGCTCTCAAGCTATTCTTGCTAAGCAACTACACCAACATTGCTCTGGCACTGGTCTCCTGAGTGTTTGTAGAAAAAAATATTAGGTCTTAGTAAGGTACCTAGGTGAGAAATCCACATTGGTAAACATCTTTGAAGATCTGAGTGCCTGATCTTTTTCACAAAGTAAGACTTTGAAGCCCTACTGCGCTTTCCACCCATGATTGTATTTCCTCCTTATTTTCTTTCAGCCATTCGATGTTGCTCTTCACTTGCTCCAGTGTCTGACTCCTGGGCATTTCTCCTGCCCCAGCATTAGGATATTTTTCAAAGAAATTTTCCACCTGGAAAAGAGAAAAGAATTGATGTGAAGTAAATAATGCTGCTGTTGGGCAAGCAGCTTTTTACAAAGACACAGTCAGGGGTAATTCTTACTGGGAGAGATCTATAAGCTCATGCTAGTAGCATTGGAATAGTTTTACAGTTTACTCCTGCTGCTTTAAGCATTTAGAGGACAAAAAAATAAGTTTCCTGTCCAGAAGTTAGTGAAATATGTTGACTTAAATTCAAGAGAATTGATGTCATCATACCTGCCAAAGCTGGAGCTCAGTGTTGAAGGTTTGGGCAATAGTTACTATTCGACCAAGATATCTGTCATTTATAGTGAATCTAGAAAAACAATTTAATAAATGATGTTTGATGCAAAACCATAATTATCTGAAGCATAAACTTCTAATTGTATTACAATAAAGCAGGTACACTCAAATTTCAGCATTTTTTTGAAATAGTTGAAAAATAGCATTCCTACATAATATCTGAGCTGTTCTTAAATATTTTTACTAATGGACTAATCTCTTATGGTGGAATAATTTTTTTTAAAGTAACTAGTGATTGTCACAGGCTGGAAGTTAGGAATATTGCTGCTCAGCAATACAAAACTGTCCAGATCACAGCTCTAGGCTTGCAGGCGTGCTTTCCTTCTGTGCCCTCACCAAGCACTTAGGAGATGGAAAGATAGATAAGTCACTCAAATATTGAGGAGAAAAGTGAAAAAGTTTGTGATTACTTCCACTGCTCATTTGTATGTCTGCTGCTTGCTGTTACCATTAGAATTTTATACCCCCCATTTTATACTCTGTTTTGTTGGTATGAAATCAGTCGCAAGAGTGGAGACTTGATTCATTAATTTCCATGCAATAAGCAGATTTCTGTGGCCTTGGTAAAACTTTCTCTCCTTGATGACCATTTACTGGTAGTGATCATTTAGGGAAAGAATGGTTTTCAAGTTAGTGACAAAATAATTTCTCCACAGCAAATGGATATAATTGTGTTGAAGAAGCTTTCAGTTTTCATTTTGCAAAGGTCAGTGATTATAACTGTACAATGAAAACACAGAAAAACGTGGCATGTAACAAGATTTACAGGTGGATATAGTTTCCCATGAGTTCAATAGAGTACCTGTCAACTAAGTACTGCCAGTTCAGTCGTATCCAGTCCCAGGCCATTGTTTTCCCATAGGTGTTATATGAGATGTATCTCAGGACCGTGAACACATCTTGGCTTTTGATGAGGCTGGTGTTGTAAATATATTTCAGATATCTATGGGAAATGCCATAGGAATCAATAAGAACCATTTCCAAACAGGAATATTATTTTTTTTCCTACAGCATTTCAAAGGTAAAGTACACGGATCTAAAATATAACTTGTGTCAAGAGATAATTGTATTGAAAGAAATCTTAGTTAGGAATCTTTATCAAAGTAGGTAGAGTTTGTGTCTCTATTTGAAAATAGCCAAACCCCATTATTATTCCTATATTTTAATGCAGTAGAGAAAACAAGACTGGATCAGTTAGTACTTCAGCGTATTAAGCCAAGCACCAAAAAAAGTAGTAGTCCAGACTTTAAAGATTTTATAGGGACCATGAATGCATGCACAGGTGGCTTGCTCACATTGACATCTGTGCTGTTTGTTTGGAAATTTTTTTCCATACAAAATTAAAATTCATTTGGACAGACCATGCCTGCAAGTGCTGCAGCTATACTTCGAGTTATGGCACAGATGGTTTTGACTGACGGGGTGAAGCATACATGTTTGCAGGGAGATGAGTAGCATGGTCATGGATTCACAGCAGCAGCTGCAGAAGAACACCCTTTCAAGCTGTTGTGTGTTGGGATTAAGGACTGTCTTCTTTTTCCCTATATGTAATGGGCATTTTGTTCAATCTGTTTGCTCTTCCCTCCTTATTTGCTATTTTAATAGTAAATTGAGAGACAAGCTTTCCCTGTTTTAGGAGGGATTTTTTATTTTCTGCAAATATAGTCTGATCTAGCTAATTAATTCATGTCTTAATCATGTCAGCCATTAGCTATTTAATGGCTTTAGATTAAGGCTGTTGCGGTCACAAGAATTTAGGAATGCAGCTGCTTCCTACCGTTATTTCAATTACTCTAAATCTTTTATTTACTCTTTCTGAATGTTTTTGAATCTCCTATACTTCTGTGTTTCACCTCCTTTAAACTTGGGACTCTTTCAAGCAGAGGCTGCTCCATGTTTTGGTATTTAGGTAGGGCTCTGATATAGTGGTGAATGGCCCTGGTGTAGATGTTTGCTTGCATGAGTGCTATGCTGCATGATGCAGCAACATGCAAAGTTATCAGATAAGCCTAAAGTAGCCAATGTGCCTATGCAGGGCGACAGCCTGGTGAGATTCTTGCCAAGTCAGACAGTCTGCTGGACGACTCTGGGGCAGTATCCAGACTCCTCATCATTGCCATGGCAGCATGAATTCAACATTTTTGGTTCTAGCTTGAGTACTTTTGCACAGCACCTCAGGGTGCGTTGCAAGTTCAGGTGGATGCCTTCATAGCACTGTTAATAACAATTGCTCAAGGCTGTTTGCCTAATTTTAGCTAGTTAGAAAGTGGACATCTAGGCTAAGCAAACTGGAGCTAATGGAGGGTGACTGAGAACACCCAAAAGCAATTCTTTCCATTGATTTTAAGCTCCTTTCCTGGTCTGGGATAAGCAGTGCTTTGTAGGTCTGGCCTCTCTTCACTGATTAAAGAGGAAATGGATGACTAATTTACTCCCGGTAATTAACTATTAAGCAACTAAAGTTGCACACATTGTTGGAAGAGCTGAAGGTTGTTGATTGTGTGCAGCAACTACCATGTCTTCAATATCTTTCCACTAAAAGAACAAGGCTTTTTCCCTGCCATAGTACAATCTCAGAGGGGCATGTTAGATAACTGGTCTTGAAAATGTATTGCATTCCTCATGCTGTAATCTGACCAAAATGACAGCACAGAAGAGAGGAAGAGGGGAAAGAGCAAACAGCAAACACTTGCTTCTGTAGGAAAAGAGAAATCTGTGTGCATTTAAATCACCTGTCCAAAAGGGTGATGTTCCTCACTGATGCCAGGCCATATAGCAACTTTTCTTTTTCTTGGGCTAATGAAGTTTCTTGGTATTTGTTGAACATGTAATTCCATGATGTCTCATTGCCTGAGTTCTGCATCCCATAGCGATATACTATAAGTCGGAGATTTGCAGGAATACTAAAATAAAGAAACAGTACTTAAATATTCTTCCCCCTTTCCTACTTGAGATCAGTGGTACCCAGTCACATGCTGTGTTCTTCACAAATCACAAAAGATGTGAGCACTCACGTTTCTCCTTGTAACCACCTATTGAAAAGCTGAGAAGCATTGTTCAAAGATCCTAAGTCATTCATACTGCAGGCGAAGTCTAGAACAGATGCACGAAGAAGCCTTGGAAAGAGAGAGAGAGAGAGAGAGAGTGAGAGAGTTATTTTCCTGCTGCTAACTAATGCATCAATAACATAAGAAGGAAAAAATAAAGATTGTCCCACCTCTGCAAATGGTCTCCAGAATCCTCCCAGCCCAGTTCTTCCACAGTTGGTTTTACCAGATTGCGAAAATATTGCTGAAGTAGAAAAAGAGTGTTGGTTACATGTGCAGATTTCTTTAAATTATAATATATTTAATTTCATAGTTTGTTCTCCTTCTTTTTTTTCAGAACTATCATCTCTTGAATAAAAAGTAACATGAACAGGCACACACACAATCTTTCCAGATCCCCACCGCATGCCAAGTCTGAATGCTTGCAATACTGATGTGCAGACAGGACAAAGCCAACCTCCTGCTCTCTAGCCTTGTCTGTGTTCCCAGATGAAGGTTGGGGTACAGCAAGGACACACTGCCACAACTGCTTTCCAGAGATGATAGTTCAGGACATACCTACTTTAGTGATCACTAAATGATGTTCAGTATTTTAGGTCAACTAACAAACCTTCTCACTGCCACATAGAGATATAGCCGTCCTTTGTGCTGAGGACAGGTGTTTGAGATTTTGCTGCCCTATACATACTTCTTTATTGAATGCAGGACAGCCTTGAGTAATAAATACCTGTAACATGCCTTATGGTGTCAGATTATAAGAATAACTAGGCATAATGTCTTTTCTCCAAGTGCATGGTCCTGAATGCAGAATCCAGGTAATTCAGATACCACTATGAAGCAGTGTTTAGAGGTTTTTTTTAAGAGAACAATAATGAAAAGTAAATGTAATAGTTCAGCAACAGTGAAAATCACTTGAACTTCAGTATTATTCTTGTGAGAGATTCTGAATTATCAGATTCAGTGGTCCCAAGCTGGGTTAGCTTTTATTTTGCTTCATCACCTGAAACAGGGGATAGAGAGTTTGATCATCTTCGAGCATGTTTGCAAGGTAAGTTACAGCTGATATAGCTCTATTCCAAGGCAAATAATCTGTTTCCTTTCCTAGGTATTTTGTGAGTTCCAGGGGAACAGTGTAACTCACAAGTCCAGGTCTGTGGAAGGAGAAAACATAACTTCTGTTATTTTAATGAATTTGAAGATCTTGCTTCTCCAAAGATACTAGATTTACTATTTACTTTAGAAGGCCTGAAATAGTAAAGTTTGTGAGGGAGAAAGTTGTCTGGAATGTAACTTGGAAGGTGTTTTCCAAAGAGATAACCAAGGATCACTGTTGATCAATGCCTAACTGTAGGAGTTGTGCCATTGTGAGAAGACTGCTAGCATTGTGCAGCAGCCCAGTGTGCCTAGAAGTAGGTAGCCTTTAACTGACTGACATTAATATAACAAAAAAAAAGAAAGGAATTGCTGGTTGGTGACATCCTGAAAGGCTGAGGAGACTTAGAGCCTGTTACAGATTGCTTAAAATTTATCTGTGTCAGCATGGTTGGGTTCAAGATCTAGAAGTTTCCAATCAAGTTTCTAAGCAAACTTCTAGCTGAGGTGGTAGCTACTCAATGCCTTGTATGCATTGTAGGCACATCTCTGCTTTTCTGGATACCTAACCTCTTCTGGAGTGCTCCCATTATTGTTAATTATATGGAGAAAACTCCCCTTTCTAAGACCTGTGTAACTGAAGCCTGCTTTTTTCTTGCCATGGTACTGAAAGGGAGCATTTCTCGTGATTGCAACGGTAATGCAAGTTGTAATTCATACTTAAATGCACCCCCTTGCACCCACAAGATAAAGCAACAAAGAGTTAAAGCTCATATCAAAGTCAGAAAATTTCTTTCAACCACCTGGGTTGCCTGAATCCTAATTATTAGGCAACAGAAAATGAAACATTTGTGTTGAAATCTCTGCAGAGAATTAGTTTACCTCGCTAAAGAAAAAGCGTCATCCAAAATCCCTGCGCGATCAGCAGGTGAAAACATCTGTATGAAAAGAGGAAAAGAGGGATCAAGAATATACAGACTGTTTGCAGAAAAACCTCAGCCTTACAGACCTCTTATAAGAGACCCACCAGACAAGTTAGACATTACAACACTCACTATGTGGTTTTGGAGCAGAAGATTGCTTAAGGTGGCCCAGTTTTGACTATCATAATTCACTCGGAAGAATCCAATGTGGTCTGGATTAACATTCGCAAAAGTATCAGTAGAAGATGGTATTTGAATTCCTACAAAATAAACAGGAATCAGTTTGTGCACCTTATATGATGCAGATCTCACTGGAGATCCCTTGACTCCAAGCATTTTATTTGGTTTTAATGGATATCAAAATAAGGTCCAACCCTTAATTTAATTTATTTCTTTATTTACTTCTAAATGGCTCTCAGTAAAGATGAGTTATTACAGATTTTGATGCATGCCAGCACTTCTCTTACACAAATGAATTGCAGTAATTATTTGGGGTAGCCACTTTGTTAAATTTGAAATGGAGGTCATTCTGAGCAGGATGAGGATGGTGAGATTTAGTGTCATTGTAAGAAGTAAAAAATTGCAAAGAAGCAGTTCTTGCAAATATATATTTTTAAACATTTTTCATCCTTGTGTGCACTATTAAAGTTCTCATATTTTATCCTTCATTAGTTTCATTTTCCAGTTTGTTTCAACTAAATTTAACTTTTCTTTCCTTACTCTTCTTTGATTCTATTTTTGTAACTGTTGAAAAAAGATTTACAGAATAGGCTGAGACTTCATGCAAGCACTCATGTTTAGGGATTTTCCCATCTAAAATGAATACTTGAAAATTTTTCTTTCTCAGAAGCTTGGCCTGGTCCAGTTGATGATGCTACTTATGAAAATTTTTCTATTTCGTATTGAAAACAATGGTCTTGAATCTCTGTTTTGAGGGTGTCTCTAGTTAAAAGCATGTTTCTGTTTGGATGTTACATACAAAGTATTTCTAAAAAGATTTTTCCCTACAGTTGCTGTTTGCCCTGCAAGACAGAAATTTTGTGAATGTAAAGTAAGCACCTAATCAAGACTTTGCATGATTTGTGAAGTTAATAGCCCTTTGCAGCCCTCAGATCATGTGGAAATCAGAGAAAGAAAATGTCTTTGTTTTAACTTCTGACTTGTATCATAACGTAAGATATTTTTTGTTTGTTTTTGCGTGGATACTAAAAGCAACCATTTAAAAAAACCGCCACCCCAGAACAAAAGAAAAATTGCATTTCAAGAAAGTAAAAACAAGCACAAGAAAAGATAAGCCAATTGTAATATTTTTGACATTCAATGGGATGTAATTTAAAATCTGAAAAAGTCTGAAAAAAGTAATTTTTCCCCACAATTTTGTCCACTGGAGGTGTAGTAGAAGAAACTCAGATTTGACTGCATAATAGAACAATGATCAAAAAGAACCATGTAGGAATTTTCTCAGTTCGGAAATCAGCATAAGAAAAGGTGATTAATCATTTATAGTTCTTTTTCTTTAATTGAACTCAAGTTGCCAGTTTACCATGGCACAAAAGCATTCACCAGCCTCCCACTTCTCCTCTTTTATTGGACTGGACAATGGGCATATCTAAGCCAAATTGATTTTAGTGCATTATAATTAAGAGTATGCATAGATGTTTCCTTGAATAGGACTGTATTTAAGATGCTTAAGCATTATACTGAAACTGAGTCTAAATTGACATCATGTTTGTACAGGGGAAATAGTAATCTTATCACTGAACTTACTAGTGACTGGAATAACCAAGCTGTGTGCTACCTCCTGGACCTGAAAACTGCAAAGTATGAAAGTTCATTCTGTACTCTGTTTTTTATAAATTATATGGAAAACTTTCATTCATTCATTATCCTTAAAAGAGAATACATTTACCTGTAGAATCTGATGCATTGTAGAAAGTATAATTTGATGTATCACCACGCTTAAATTTGACTGGTATATTCCATTTGTAACTGAAATTATTTAATGGGAAAAAAAGTCAAATTACATTTGAAGCCAAATAGTAAAAAACCCCCTCCAATATGTCTTCGTTTCTTTGTTTATTTTAATGCCTACATCTTTTTTATTGAAGCTGACTTGTGCTTATGAACATATACATACTAAATAATGTCAGGCAATTTTCTAGCAGGATACAAAGTGATTGGTTTAGTAAAAGATGATTTTATGTTAATAACTGGTGTCAAGATTGATGTTGATGTGTCTAGGGCTTTGCGCAGACACTAGTTAATCTTTGCAAAGCTGACTTGAAATAAATGGTTAAGTATTACGGAAGTTTTTTTGCAGATGGAAAAAAGGAAAGAGTTTAAGCATCTACTGTGATACAGTTAACAGGGCTTCTTGCCTTTTCCAGCCTATTTTTCTTCTCCAAGACCATCCTAATTCCTTCGTTAAAAAGCACTGGGAGGCAAATGCAACCTTACCTCTTGCTCCTCAGCTCCTTGTATATCTTTAATGGGTAGGTGCAGTTTCCTCACTCCAGGGCATGCCCAGGACAAAGATGAGAAATTTGGGCAGGAATGGAGCCACAGCACAGCCTGACCAAGACTGTGACCAGGCAATCAGGGATGTGGGACAGCAGAGCATGCTGCAAGTGTAACATCAGCCACCTGCATAGGGCTGCTAAAATGATCAAGCCCTTTTGAGCAGTCAGCTGCTCTTCCATATTAGTATATTATACTTTATCCCAGGGAGATTTCTCCTTGGTGACAAATGCTATGGGAAATATATGTCATCTTTATAACCCTAGTTTAAGTAAATGGTCACTAACTTCCAGAAAATAAAAAAAATTAAGGTTATGGTATCTTCTCCTACCTCCAGGAAGAAAGATTTAATATTTTTTGTCTTCTAAACAAAATATCTTAACAGAATTATACTCTTCTGGTTTTACTTGTTCTTTTATGGAGCTTACTATGATGGAATTTAGATAGGTATTGTGTTTCCCCAGAGAAAACCCATATAGGTTTTTGGAGTTTTGTTTGTTTATTTGTGGGTGGTTTTTTGTTGTTGTTGTCATTGGGGGTTTTTTTGTTTGTTTGTTTGTTTTTTGTTCATTTGGGGGTTTTTTGTTTTGGTTTGGTTTTTTAAACTTATTTTTGTAAATGCATTTAATGAGGTATATTTTACTTAGTTTCTACCTGGTATGAATCAACATCTGCAGTAGGAACTTACCCAAGATCAGAAGGAGGATGAGAAGCATTTGCACTGGGATCCAAAAGAAAACGTTTCTGTGTGAATACTGAATTATCTCCCATCTCCAAAACAGGGTAGCCCATCTGCCTAGTCCAGGTGTCCATGACTTCCTTCACAGGTTTATTACTTGCCTGTGAATGATGGAAGAAGGTTGTGGTGAAAATGGAAATTCAGTCCTAAGAGGAAAGAAAGTCTTTCTGGTATTAAGAAAAAGAAAAGCAGAAAGAGGCAGAGGAAAGAGCATGTTCAGGACAAAAAAATCCTCAATTAAATCCTTTTATGGTGCCTGTCACTGAAGAAAGAAATTATTTGGGAACTTGAACACCCACAGAAGAAATGAGAAATGTGTAGGCTGGAGACTGGCCAGTAGCATGGAATAAGAAATACTGAGGAACATTTGAGGCCCCTTGCATGCTCAAAGATCTCTCAATTTTTTTCTGATAGAAAAACTGAACAAGACAGAAAGGACACAGTGGGATTTTTAAAGGCAGAAGCCTCCTTGCAGTGTGTCCTGTTTTGAGTGTGAAGAAAGAGCCAGTATTAACCACCAGTAGCTGCATCAATGTAAAATTTGATTCATTCTATGAACCCTGAGCATCTGTCCTGGGAACTGGAGCTGAAGAAAGCTGTCACTACCTCCCGAGGATGCCACCTGTGAGAGAAGTGAGCTAGACTCACTTCTAGTGACTTTCTCCAGATGAGGAAGATGATGTGAAGATGCAAAGCACTAGAGAGAGAAAGCAGGAAGTTCTGCTGAGTAGGAAGAAGTCTGGGACCAAGGAGAAGACTGGAACTAAAAAGAAAAGCACAATTTAGTCTATGTGCATGTCCACAGGTTTGGAAGAAAAAGAAAAAGTACCAGGGAAGAACCTGGCAGTATGCCAGCGTAACGGGGGCTAATGAGATAGATGGAAAAAATAGTCCAGCCTCAAGGAACAGGAAAGATCAGAAAATGGTGGCACAGATGATGACCCAACTGGGACTCAGAAGCTAGAGAGGGATATAAGCACCAAAATTACTTGTGAATTGATGTCACTGATAGCTTTCCAACACCTGAATCTGGAGAGAGAAAAGACACCATATGGGGTGCATGATGGTGGATGAGAGGTGTTTCACACATGAAATGAGTTTAATTTGCAGGGGGAATATTTCAGCAGCAGGGTGTTTGTTAGCAAGGCCTCCTTTCTTGGTTCTTACTCCACTCCCACAGCCTTATGCAAAAGAAGGAAAGGAAAGAAAGGAATGAAGGGAAGGGAAGGGAAGGGAAGGGAAGGGAAGGGAAGGGAAGGGAAGGGAAGGAAAGGAAAGGAAAGGAAAGGAAAGGAAAGGAAAGGAAAGGAAAGGAAAGGAAAGGAAAGGAAAGGAAAGGAAAGGAAAGGAAAGGAAAGGAAAGGAAAGGAAAGGAAAGGAAAGGAAAGGAAAGGAAAGGAAAGGAAAGGAAAGGAAAGAAGTGAGAGGCTGCCTAGCTTGTGATCTCTCATTGGCAGAAGAACTACAGAATATTAAAACTTTGAGAAACTAAATCAGTGGGTGAGATATGAAACATTTATCAGCACGGGTTTGGGTGGATGCAAAACACACCTCTTCCAGAGCTTCCCAGAATTGTTCTGTCTTGGCATTCTGGAAATAGTATTTCTTCAAATATGCCTAGAGAGAGATGGAAGACCATGAAAATACTACCAGTGTTTCTTGTTTGCCTATGAAAACAATACACATATTCAGTTGTACAGGGATACAGAGAGTACCTCTCAGTTGCACAGAGTATCCACACATGGGTGGTAGTACTGTCAGTGGGAGATCAAATGGATCAGTATTCAGCTGATGAAATTCCTTTGCTGTCCAATGCATCCCATAACACCAAAAGCCAGCGTTTTCCAGAGTGACTTGTTAGTAGGAAATAAATTTGTATTTGAAGATTTTTTTGGGTTTTGTTTAAATGGACACCACTCTACCCTGCTGCAAATTTCTGACTAATATAAGAGGCTGTTTAGCAGGAGGAAGATATTTAATGAGATTTCGCTACCTGTGGACTCAGAGTGGAAGCAGGAAACTCTTGTCACCTCCACGTTTTGATCAAAACGATTGTTACACGGAGTAATGGTGTTCAGCAAAGAGTTTGCAATGCCTAAACCTTGTTCCCATGCTGTGTCTTCCCTGGCTGCTCGGCGGGTGTTTTCCTACCCTGCCACCTACTCCCGGTGGTGTTCAGTCAGTAGATGGTGCTGTTTGTTTCGCTGTTGGCCGCAGCCGCCTACCTTAGGGTTCCTGAAGGCTCTGAGCAGAAGGAAAGGGTTAGGCTCTTGGAGACAAGGCGGCTGTATTTTCCCATCTTGGGTAACTGTTCTGATTGAGTAAGTGAAAGGGGGAATACAGGAAAATACAACAATCTTGTAGCAGCCCATAAACGTGCTCTTCGTGGGAGAGGGAAGTAAGAACAAATGTGGTAAGCCTGCACTGGTAACGCTTGTTACTAATGGCTGTTCAGAATAAAGGACAGAGAAGCTTTCTCCTTCTGGGGTGACTCCTTTCTCATTTTGTTATTTTGTAGCACCACGCTTTTCCTCCACAAGAAAGGACTATGGACTGTGCAATGTATCTCTTTTCTTCTCCCTATTACCTTCACTTTTTAGGGCTGGGTGTCCCTGCATCAGGGCACGGATGAGATGATGCCTCTAAGAGTGTGCCTAGACATCAGCCTTGTGTGGATTGGAGGATTCTGGCCATAGGAAGCCACAGACACACTTTACAGCAGAATGAGGGGATCCCAGTTGACAACAGGATAGCAGTGGGGTAGAGGAGGTTTTTCCACTAAAAGCTGTCAGGAATTTATGTCCTCACTGTCTGGCTATCAAATCTTTATGCAGTTCACATTCCTGCTTCTGTGGGAGCATGGAACTTCTTCCCCTCTATGTTGCCCACTCAATATTGAAATCCACTATGTACTTTTGCTACCAATACCAGGATCTCTCATATTCATGTTTTGAATATTGGCTCTTCTACTGTCACATAAAGATGGGCTGTGTGTCTGGCAGGTTTTGATGCCACCTTTACCTGACAGCCTTTCTGGAAGAGCTCTGGTGTAATCCAGTCTTGAATCATTCTGAGGATTGATGCACCCTGAGGACAAAGGGAAAGGGGAGAAGGTCAATCCGCACTGCTCTAACATGATTTTCATTCATCTAAAAGGCAACATGTGAATGACTATTTTACAAGGCAAAAATAGAAATCATCCATCAGACTAAGGAAGTGGTTTTTCTACTTCCTTTGTTTGACAGCATGCCTACCTGGTGGAGCTTAAATCTGGATGTGAGAATCGGTCTTTAGTTGTGATCAGACACTTGTTCCTATGTTCAGCTCCCGAGCCCTGCTGCTGCAGCTTACTATCCTGCCTCTCTACCAGTTTGTGTGAGCAGGGCTCCCTGTTTTGTGTAGAACGGTTCAGGGGTGAGGGCAGCTGGGGACGCCCCCTGTCAGGGGAACAGCCTGAGAGAGGCAGTGACTTCAGATGAACACAAAACAGGAAGGGAACTCTAAAAATGCTGCAAGTCTGGGGCTTTACAGGTGTGGGTATGCCATCTGAAGATAAGGAATGAGATTTGCTGAGGACTAGTATAAAAGCTCTGGCCTCTGAAGCAGGGTAGAATTGGAATCAGAGGAGTTACTAATTGGACATCACTGTCACAGAACCCAAACAATTAGGACCTTGAAAGAAGAAAGAAACAAAAGGAAGACAGGAGAGAGAAGTAGAAGAGCCATGTGGAACAAAGAACAGAGTGCACACAAGATGACGAAGAAAAGAAAGGAGTGCAAATTCCATCTGAGATGCAAAATACAATTTTAGGATTAGCATGTTTCCATTTTCTGAGCTAAATCAAGGGCCAGTTGAGAGCCTAATGCTATGAATAGTTTAAAAATCCAGTTGTCCCATGAAAATAATAGTATATCTGAATTCTCAGTAAAACCTGTTTCCTCTATTTATGTGTCTGAGAATAACGACTAGATGAGTCATGGTAGAGGGACTGTTTGAACAGATATGCCTCAAACTTCTTTCCAGGCTATTGTTGGAGAGTCAAGGTGGTCAGCAGATGACTGTTTTCTAATACAGAAATCTGATGTGTTTGCCATGGAATATGCTCAAAATATTCCAATTCAGTAACATTTAGAACAGATATCCATTAGTGATAATCCTAAAGCTGCTTAATGATCAATGATGATCATAAGGCCATGAATATGCAATAGGGAACCTCAGTTCCTCAGCTTTGTCTCTCAGCCACTTCTTATCTGATATCACCACCACTCAGAAACCATCCCCTCCCATTTATATTAAAAGCCAAAGTACAAATACACACTTATACATGATTTGATAACAGTGGAGACTTCTTTTGCTTTAAAATGTAAAGTATTGTATTTAAAATGTAATGTAAGTCACTTGCACCTTCTATTATTATTTTTCAGTCTCTTCCCCACTCTTGTCATTCCTCTGTAGTCCATGGTGAAGTGTGTTTGAGAAAAACTCATCCTAACAAAAATCACTGATTATAGGAACACCAGCATTTTAATAACTTCCCTTTCTTACAACTATTTGGGGAGGCTCAGCAAGTGACCTTAATTTGACTAGCTGCCATTCTCTGAGGGGGGTATATGGGGGAGTCTTTTATCAACACCCACATAATTTCATAGTAATTGCCAAGTACGTGGCAAGATTTGTTTGTGGCAGAAATGTGGAAGATTAATCCTAAACTTCTGTAGCTGGGAAGTTCCAAAAATACGAGGGTCCAAGAGCAAATTTCTAACAGAACTTATTGAAGACAAAAAGATCACTGATCCTTTAATAAAACCTTTTCAAAATCCAAGAGAGGATTAAACTGGGAAAGAGATGAGATGCAAATACTTTTAAAAAATAGATTAAAACAATTATGTACATTAATTGTTTACTCACCAGCTCTACTCTAGTAGAGCTTTCCTAGGCATATAATGCCCTATCAATCCCATAGCAGTTAGAGGATCTCATACAGAATACACTGCAATGACTCCATAGACCCTTAGGCAATTCATTAGGATTTTAGGATTGGATAAGCTCTCCGGTTGTTCTGGTAAGACTAACAGAGAGCATTTCAAATTATGCTTTATTTGTTTAGCAATGAATATTATCATGAGAAGATGGTTTTTAAAAGAAAAATACAAAAGAGAAGCCAAAACAAAGCCAAAAAGAAACAAGCTAATTTTGTCACGCATTTATATATAAATACCAACAGTAATTTGAGCTAAATCTACGCAATGACTTTCTCTTTCAAGCCAAATTATAACCCAAGCCAAATTATATCCCAAGCAAACTGTTCCCAAACAATGCACAAGTCCTCAAGTGTTTTTGCTTAAAAAAAAAAGAGTTCATGTTGTAATTATCTAGGCACAAAGAGATGAGTAAAAGCTACGATTTTTTTTCTCCATTGTTTTTACAGACCCTGCAAAAGTATATATCTTACTTAGCTCACCACTAAAATAGATTTTGATCCAGAGTATTTGATTTAGCTCTGTATATTTCGTGACTTTTGTTAGTTTGATTTAAAAACTGTTACACAATGCAGGTTTTTACATGGTTTATGGTTTGACTGTGAGGCATTTATGATGCAATAAATATTGGTTGTATTGTTGGATAGGGGATTTAACAATTGAAAACAGAAAACTGATGGAAACGGATGGATCAAGTCTAGCTAATAAAAGTAGTATCTATAGTTACAGGCTGTAGCACAGCTGAAGCTAACGTCAATGCAATATATACTGTATGTTTACCTGATAATGGGAGCTTGGAGGGAAAGCAATAAGCAGTGTTTAATAATGTTGAATTTTGTGTGTTCTGTGGAAGTGTGTTACGGCATCAGAGAGGGAACACTGACAGGGTCATATAAGAAATTGCCAATAAAATATGGTGTATCAGGTTCAGAAGCAGCATGGGAGATGGCCGGTTGAGGAGGAGTGACAGGAGTGTTTTCTTTGGGCTTGTCTCTTGATGCCCTGCAGAAAATAACTGGAGGGAACAGTGTTGTTTGGGCCCTTGAGTCGAGACTTGCCTGGTTAGATATGGGGGGGCACCTGCTTTGTTCCAAGTCTAAGGCTTGTCTAAGGACTAAGTGGCTTTGGCTACATCTGATATGGAGAGAAAGAAGATGGCCTCAGCCCCCTAAGCTGGGTCTTCAAAGTGATGATCCTCAGCATGGCTGCTGGTGTCCCTCAAGCTCTGGACTTCACTGCACTGATCTCCAGCCTGCCACCCCACACAGCAAGTACTGCCAGAGGCCTTGGGCTCCCAAAAACCTCTGTGTACCCTGGTAACAACAGTGGTTGGATGACTCCAGCATTCCAGTGTCTCTCTGCTCAGGCAGAGGTATCCTTCCAGCTAGCTCCTTAGGGAGTCTTTATGGGCACAGGTCCTCACTGCCACACGCTGGGATGGGATGAGCAAAAATCTTATCAAATACTTAATGGAGTGTCTGCTACCACTTCCTGGGCTACTGGACTATTGTACTCCAGTGCGCTCCTGAGCTCCACAACTTTCAGTGAGATGTGGAGCTGACTTATCTCCCAATTTAAGCCAATGCCAGTAGAGGCTGATGTAGCCCATCTTTGCTAAGATTTTTTGGGTGGCTGGGATACTGTGAGCAACTTGAGATAAAAAGTCACTTTCCTGTTTTCACTGCTTGGTTCCCTGCCTTGCTTCCTCAAAACGGAAATTATGAGGGCCTGCAGGTGTGATGGAGAAGTGACAGAAAGGATACATCTGGCCTTGGACATCTGGCCTTGCCTCCTCTACCTTCATGTTAGATTATGAGCCTTGACATAACTGGGCTGCATCAGCACGAGGAGATGGGAGAGTGGTGTGATTAGTACCTTGTTTAGTTTAATTTTAAACCCAGCACTCTAGTGGCAGAGGCCGGTGACACCGTGCTTTGCCTGCATCACTGCATGCTGTGAGCAGGCCTGCATGGTGCACAGTGGCTGACCAGGCTCTGCTGCTCTGCTCCTCTCACGGCTGCCTTTAACTGCATCGTCACTGACTGCAGTTGGGAACGTCCCAGAACAAAGATCTGCACAGACACAGCTCAAGTGACTTGGGAGTCCTGATTATGAGCCTGACTTTTATCTCCTCTCCTTTGCCCCTTCCTTTGCATCCAAAGTCACAACAGAAGGATGTCCTACCTTACTGTAGGATATCCCGTCAAACACAGAGGTGATTTCAGCTGGAGATGACACATTGGCTACAATTGGGTGCGAAGAGAGCAAAGAGTCATCCATCAGTACAGGAAGCACATCGTCAATTAAAACCTGTTCAGGCTGAGAAAAAGAAGACATTAGAATGGAAACAAAGGCAGGACCATATGCCTACTTCTCAAATAAGTAGTTTGAATTTCAACTTCTCTAGGCAATTTAAAATAGAATGAAATTTCATGCCTCTAAAGAAGGACTTGCAAACTCTTGCTTTACATCTGAGAGGGGAGGGATACAATTTCTCCTTAGCTAAGAGAAATTGCCTTTTTCAGATCCTGTTTTCCTGTGTGTATCATAACACAGACACACCCATCCCACCTCCCTTGCCCCCAGTAGGGCAAAAAGAGTAGCCTGTGTTACCAATTTCAGAAGTATGACAATATTTACAAAGCATTATGGTCTCCTCTTGCAAAAGAGGACCTGGGTAGGAAGGGAGGGAGGGAAGAAGGAGGCAGGGTTCCCCATCCCAAGGCTTAAATGTTTTTTAAATTTATTTGAATTTTTTAAAAAAGATTAAGTAGCCAGAAGTTAAAATCCCCTTATTTCCTAATCAATATTGACCAAAAAAAGACTAAAATTCAATTTAGATTTCCTCTTCTAATACTCACTAGGATAGTATTGAAATGTCTTAGATTAACATAATATCTAGATAAAAAAAGACTTTTTATTTTAAATTCAGTAATTAGATATTTTCTTACATAGTTAGGACCATAGATCTTCTACTTTAAAGTGTAAACATGACCCAGGGAATGATTTTGTTCTTAGCCTCTCTGCAGGGAGAAAGGCAGGTAAAGCAGCAAGTAGGCACTGCCTGCTTCTAAAGTCACTAGGCTCAGGAGATAGTAGATTTTAACAGGTTCAACCTATGCAAAACCTACTCTGCTCCCTTCCACTGGCATGTTGTGTATGTCTTAGCACCCAGAACCTCATTACAACTTGACAGCTGGGGAAAATACGTGTGTTCTATGCCGTCACATCTGTTTGGGAGGGAGGAAGAAAGGAGCAAGAAAACTCCCTTTATTCACAGACTATAATGCCTATTTAAGGTCAACTTTGCAACACCCTTAAAGCGTCGAGCTGACACAGTTAGCATGTTGGCTATCCACTGTCACTGCCTATTTTTGCACTGTACAGAACAGAGATTGTCTGAGTTGGAGCATTTGAAAGGACACGTAAAATGCTGGCGGGAACTGAATGGGAGTCTGCTATTTTCCTTGATAATAGCTCAAGCTGTGGAGACAGGCCCAGGTTCCCAACCCTTACCAGACCACATAGCAATCCTAAGTCCCGTGAAGAGAGTACAGCCAGGAAAATCTCCATCTTTCAGAGTCAGACCTTTAAGCAGCCCTGCAAAACTGTTAAGGCTCTGTCCAGAACCCACCTAGGTGTTATTTGCCATAATAACTGAACCGAATTGACTCACTGGTTAAAAAAGAATGACTCTTCCCTGCAGACTGAAGCTTCACAAAGTGTACTTTGACTAGCTTCAGATCATAACATAGGTAGGTGAAAAACGTAGACCAACTTTTTCTTTATGTTGCACCGCACTATGTTAGTTTTCCATAAATATACCTTAAGTCTTCATCGTCCTTGTCTAAATTTTACTCCCTTCCAAAATGTTCCTCCCAGCCCCACCAACCCTCTACAAGGCAGAAATAATTACCATTTTCCAATCTGGTTCTGTTGCATTTACTCCCAGGAACTCAAAATAACTGGCAAATCCTTCATTTAGCCACAAGTCATCCCACCAGTCCATGGTCACAATATTTCCAAACCACTACAATTATAAACATAAAGATGTAGGTTTGGATAAATAGTACATGTACATTTCAGTATCTCCATCTGCATACAGAATATTTATTCGCTTACTTTTCTTCCTGCTGCCAGATGAAAATTATCATAATTCTGGAGTTTGAATAGGAATGAAGGCCTTGCCTTGTGTTAAAACATCACTTTTATTATAAAATTACATATTACTTGGGAGAGTGCTAATGATTCATGTGCCACTGAAAATATTTTTAGTTTCTTCCTCTTGATTTGATGATTTCTGCTTTTAAGGATATGTTTTCAGACAGCCTCCACAGTGTATAACTGTTCTTGTTTGCCTGTCCAAAAGAGACATCTGCACAGGTAAATTCGTTTCTCTAAGACATTTTAGACAGATTTTCATAAACTGGCTGACAGTCTGGGCTCAAGCATCTAACTTCCTGAGAAAAATTCCAAGGCAGTCGTCATGGTATTTTAAAGCTCGAACAGGGATCTGTTATAACATGATATTTTGCAATCAGATTTTGAGCACATGTAGAAGAACCTGAGATGAAGTTAATGACAGTATTTTCAAGATTAAAATGTTGTGACTATATATTTGAAATACTGTAAAAGTGACTCATGTCCTAAAATATACCTGATGAACAAGCTCATGGGCTATCACAGCAGCTACTCTCTGCTTGTTGGATGTGGCTGACTCCGCAGGATCGTACAGCAGGTTTGTTTCTCGGTATGTGATCAGCCCCCAGTTCTCCATAGCACCCGTCCCAAAATCTGGAATAGCTATTTTATCTGCATTAAAAGAAAGAGAAAACAATTACCACTGTATCCTTTAAATCAATTAGCTTTTCCTCTCTGTGTGTATTTACAGTCTGTTTTGCTTACCATTTGTGATTCTGGCTTACTACCGTGGACTGCAGGCTATGATCTGTGTTCAAGAAGAGAACTGGCCTAAAGCAAGTGCCCTGGATCTACTGAGATTAAGAGGTAAAATCAGTTGCAGTTGCTGAGGATCTGTCCTGGAAGGTGATGCTATGGCATCTCCTGGGAATGTGCATATCATACATTACTTAATTTTGGCTCTAGAAATTAATACTGCTGTCTGGGGATGTGCTGTAGGCAGTAAACGTCCTGAAACTATTTGTAGAATAATGAGGCATGACATTGTTTGTCACACTGTTGTATTAAAAATATTTGACACGTTAACTGAAGTAAATCCCCCATGCAGTGAACAACATCTGCTTCTACGCCTGGCAATTTGTGGGGGTCACTCATTTATGGTCAGTAATCAATACTGGTTTAAATGAGAATTGCAGACTCAACTGAACTAGCATTTTCTTCTTCAAATAATGACCACAGGCTTTCTATGTGGGTTAGTGAAAAAGTACAGATGGATTTAAAACTGAATAGAATGAAAACGCCTCACCCCACTCCAATAGAAGATAGGAATTACTTATTTTAAATTAAACAACTTGATTACAGAATCAAGCTGATAGTTTGGCAAGGGCTTCAATGACAGTCAAAAGGACGGTACAAGGAGAAAGATAATGACAGAAGCCATAAATCAATGTGAAATACAATATTTAAATAAATCATTATGCAGAAACATATCTGATTCATCAGGTTTGAACTGGATAACTTATAATAATGAAGGAACAACATGGCAAGTCAAGGTTAGGAATCCAACAAATAGACATTCTGGGAAAAACAGTATAGAATCTACGAAAGTATCTATCCTGTGACACTGCTAACCTGAAGATACCAGTCCATCCTGTCACACAGAAAGGCCTTTGTCCAGATGCTGCCATGGCAAAGTCATCAGACTTTCATGACAGTGAAAGTTTGAATATAAAGCACAGGTGAGATATAGTACCTATTATTACTGGGGACCAGTTATGTGAAAGAACAACATATTGTACTGGTTTCCCTAATTCAGTTGTCATTGAAATGCAAACATATTGACAGTAAACTCAGGTGCTGTTTTGAAAGGAGGAGGTAAATGTCTTTTGTTAAAGTAACATAGGTTAGCATGATAGGTACAGGTACAAATAGCCAACAAAAGATTTGCACAGCATTATTAATTGTCTTCAAAGTTTTGGGGACTCCCCCCCCATATTTTCTTGACTTGTTTGCAGCTAGTATTTTTCCATCCTTTTAAGTTCATGAACTAACTGAATTACATCTTTGAAGGTCTTAGGAGGAAGAATTTCCAAAACACTGATTGCATTCCTAGCTTGATTATTGTGCATGCTAAACTGCGTGAATCAGATGCAGACTCCAAATATCTCAAGCTAAAGGATGCTCACTAACTTCTCTTTGCTTATTTTGTAACCATGGGCAAAATTTGAGAGCGTGCCTGCTCTTATTTAGTCCCAGATCTTTATTTAGCCCAGCAGTAGAAACTACAAATTAGATGCTGGACTACATTCATCTTTCTAAGACATGGATACACACCCACTTTGCACTAAGGTTAATAAATAATATGACATACTCTCTGACAGTTTACATCTTCACTTATCTCACTGCTGACTTTTGTCCAGAAGTTCATATGGAAGTGGTACATATTTTTCTGAAACTTCTGGCTCTGTTTTAGCTCATGATCGTCCTTTGCTGATGACACCAATGCTTGCCTTGATTTTCCACAAGATGCTTTAAAATAAACATGCCAGCACCAGTTTTCAGTTCAGTAAACTGGACTGTGAGAACTGGCAATAAAACAGTGACTGAGACCAACTCATCCATCATGACATTTAGAAACATCTTGAACTACATTGGTACAGTTTTAAAAGATCCTGAAAAAATTTCAGCAGTTAGCAACCAAATGCTTTCATGCTGTTTTCTACCAAAGCACAGAGATCTATAGGAGCAACATAATCATGACACTGAACTAACAAAATAAAAAATATAAATGTTCGTAGTTACCCAGTTTTGGAAGAGAGTAGCTCAAATTAAAGTACTCTTCAAAGAAGTCGAATACAGTTTTTGTTACATTTGCTGCATATTCTGCCGTGTGTATTTGCTGTGGCTGGGCGTAAACTCTCAGCTGTAAAATACAGAGAGACAATTAGAAAAGTTTTCAGTTAAGAGGAATCAGGTGTCTATCACTGAAAAGGCATTGAGCATACATATCAAAAACACTGCAGGTTTTCTCTGAGACTGGTCTGAACGTTGAATTCTGTTCCCTATCACATTTATTCAACAAAGGTTTCAAGTGTGTACATAAGAGATACCAAGCCAACATGTGCACATTTTCCACTGTCTGTCTGAATTTTAAAACTGGCAAGACCCATGTCCAGAAGCTCACAGTGGCCAAGCTGGTTACAAACCAGCCCCTACTTCTCCACAGCCTGGTATTCCAAGGAGGAAACCTGGGCAAGCACAGTCAAAGGGGATCCACTTGTTCTGAGCAGTTCACTGATCTTGACTGATCCCATCAGATCAATCTTCAGGAGCACATCTCTATTGAAATGTGTCAGAAGCCCATAGCACCTTATTTTATTCACCTTCTTTGTACCTTTCCTATGTACTGTCATCATGGTTTCCTCTTGTCCTTGCATATCTGAAGACCTCAACCCACTGACGACCATGCATTTACTAGACCTGTGACCTTTCCTGGACATGCTGTCCCATGCAGGTTGAGTGGCTGTTTGAGAAGGACCTTGGGCCACACAGCCCCAGCTTTGGTGCCTTCTGGGCTGCTGCACACCAGGAAATCATAAACAAAAATCAGTTCTGTCTTTTATGACCAGGGAGTCTGGAAAAACTGGCATGTTTGGTAGCCCTGGCATGTTTGATGTGATAAGTGACCATTTCTGTGCTCCTCCTGTATACATGAATGCAAAAAAGGATGTGTTGAATATTGACCTTTCTATCCCTGAAACCTGGTGCCTGGTACCCCTTTGGCTATGGCTGTCAAGGAGTAGGAAACAAGCTCTGGAGAACTAGAATCTTTATGACACCCATGTCCATTATGAGGAGGCTTGTAACTGGCAAAAACCTTTTGAGAAGTTATCTTCACATTGTGAAGGCAAAGTTTGAGTTCAGAATTACAGGAGCCTTTTGGGGATGTTTTCCTCAATCTCTCTGTCCCAAAGCCTGTTGGAGCTGTATGTAGTCTGTTCTCTTCCCCACCCCTGAAGATCTCAAGTGTGGATGAGATATTTCTATATGCAGTGAAGTTTCTGGTTTTAGGAAAACTGATCTATCTCATTTTGCCAGCTCCATGACTCTTATGAATGGGACACATTCATCTGCTGCACTGGTGTGCCTTGTTTACTCCTTCAGTGCTGTCTTACAGCCAGGGGTTTAGGGGCCAAGCAAAGAAGCTGGTCTATTCCAGGAACTCTTCTGGAGCCTGAAAACAGTATTGATTTCAATACTATAAATTACACTTCCTCCAATGAGAGGGGAGGATGGGAAAGTGTTCAGAAATAAAGCTGGAACAAAAACAAAAGAAAACAAAAAACCCCAAAAAAAACTAGAAAAAAAACCCAAACAAAACTAAAACAAAACAAAAGCTTATGAAATTCAATCAGGAATACATTCCAGCCAGGGGATTTCCCCCTGGGTCAGTTTGCAATTACTATCTGCAATTTCCACTTCTGTAAGCTCTTTACCCAATTTAGCAGTCTTCAGTCCCCTAGCTGATCCATATTAATGGTTTCCAAAACCTTCAGCCTGCACTAGAACTGACTTTGGGTTTCATTTGTATAATCTCCTCTGTGATTTTTCCAAACCAGACATTTAGTACCTGACAGGTAATCAGTTCAGGAGCATTGTTTCCAGCTGTGGGCACATTTCCCACCACTCATATCATTAATGTCTTCATTAGGGCTTTCAGAGTGAACGGCAGAGTTTTTAAATAATTTACTGTGTCATGTGAGCTGTATGCTCTTGCTGTTGTTTATGAAAGTAATTTATGGATCAAGTGGATACTTTCTGTTGAATGAGAGATTTATTGTTAGAAATTTACACAGCAAACTATGGAATGTTCTTTTCAGGGGTTGGTGAATCTAAATACCTTTGTTCAGCTGGGCTTTAAATTTCTTGGACAGGAAGCCTTGGAAAGGCTATAAGAATAACTTTCTATATATATGATTAGAAACCCTAAAGATAGTCTGATTTTCCTGGGGAAAAGATAATTTTTAGGGATTGATCTTCCACATGTATTTTATATTTGTAAAACTATGTCCATGTTAAGAGAAAGGAAAGTTATTATTTTAACCTCACTTAAACCCCAAGTTTTCTAGTGCAGGCAAGTCCTCAGACATTGTTTAGTGAACGACATTAATAAAATATGTGTAACATAGGCCTGAATTAGAAGATGTTTCTTCAGGCAACCCCTGTACTGACACGAATACCCCTGCATCTACACACATGCACTTTAATTACCCTGTTTCAGTGAACACTCCCTTCTACTTAGAAAAGCTACAACCAGTCAGGAACATTGTGGGCTGTACTGTTTTGCTTGGGGAAAAAAAAAACAACAAGTGACCTCAAGGCCCTACTCTGGAGCGTGGCATGGACAAGTAGTAAATGTTTAACTTCTGCATGTAGAAAACAGTGCTACGCACTTCTTCAGTACATTTTTTCCCTACCGCACTATATTCTGCACAAAAGTCTAGAAAAATTTTGATTTTTAAAGGAACTGAACTATAGAGTATATCTAGTGAGACCAAGTAATCAAGGTGCTGTCCCTGATAATGAGTGGACCAGCTATGCTGAAGAGCAGTTGGTTAACAAAATTGTGTGACTGGGTGGCCTAAAAATGTATTCCTGTGAATTACTTAGCCAAACAGCAGAGAACTAAGAATATTTTGTCTGTATCTCAAACCAGGCTCCATTTGCTTGTCTAAGTGTAATTTAGGTTTAGTTATTTGTCAAGTAAGAATACAAGCATACAGCATGACGCTAGCAAGGGCACAGAGGGAGGCCTCAGCACAGCCCTGTGACAGGAAGTCTTTCTGAGCTAAGAGCTCAGAGCTGAATCAGAACTTTGGAGATTTCTACGAAACAGATTTTAACATCAGCGAACAGCTTTCAGTAGGGAATGATTTGATGTTCTTTTTTGGTTAAAGCAACTAAGGAAGAGCTAACTTGCTAATGGAACAGTAGAATGACTGGGGTTTTATTCTAGATTCCCTGTCCATTTGTGACATTTTCTCCAGAAACTGAGGAAACCACTGCCAGGTCATGTGAATGACAAGACCCCGTGTTACATAACAGGAAAGGAAGGGGAAGAAGCAGGGGCATACAGCTCTAGGGATCACTCTCTGTATCAGAGGAGAACAAGATCTAAACCAATAAACAATTAACAGCAGGCTGAGTATCCCAAACTGGGTTTAGGCTAAATGAGGAGTTTCTGCTGAGGGGCAAGTTGTATTTCGGATTTCAGTTTGTGATTCAATGCAATGTCATGTGATCTCTTTATGCCTGATCAGCTACACCTTCAGGAGATTTGAATCTAAGCAAGAAATGGATTGGCCTGCCTACTGCATCTAAATGAAGGAGCTACATTAATTTAATAGGTTCAGATTCAAACCTATTTGCTTCATTAGGGGATCAACCAAATATCCACCTGTTTAGGCAGACACTATCACTTCTATACTTATTTTTACAGAACTTACCTTGCCCAATTGCCACTGTGGCACTGTGGCACATTGCCTGTTGCCACTGTGGTAAAATAAAGCAAGCCAGTACATAATGGCACATAGCACTGTAGTCCTATGTCTCAACAGCTGTAATAATATCAAATGCAATTTTAACTCACAGAAAACTATAAAGTATTTGTATTCATGGCCTGGGACTCTCCTGTACCCCCTAACTTGTACATTCCTTCAGGCACTGGGGTTCAAGTCAGGGATGAGTTTGGAGAGAGTGTTCCTTCCTCACCTGTGTGCTCATATGAGAGGTAGTAACTGGGATCTCACAAAGATGGGAGACAGGGAAGGACTGCAAAACACTGTATGTAGTCCAGGTCAGAGGGACCACTGTGAACACATAATCTGATAAAATAGGCTGCATAAAATAAGCTACAGGAAAAGGAAAAACATGTCCTTGTTTGTATAAAAAGAGATTTTAAAGAAAAAATGCAAATGAAGGCACATCTGTCACCTGAACCACATTCAGGCTGCAGAAGGACTTACAGGTTTTCCACTTGCAGATGTTCTCTCTACCCAGGTAAACTGGTGCACTGCAAAGCATACCAAGTAAGTGCTCATGGGGACTGACTTCTTAAAAGTTGTTCGATTCCAGCCATCACCAACTTGCACAGTTTGCTGCAGAAATGCAAAAATAATCAAATTGATTTTTGAAATTGCAAACACATGCATAAGAGTACATTTGTATGAAGACTGCAACTGGATAGGAGCAACAAATCACCTCTCCAGGTCCACCTCTTCTGGCATTTCATTGCTGAAGGCATAACAGACAAAGTATTTTTCTTCTGCAATACATGAAATGGTACTTTGGTTTTTTGGCACTAAAGAGTTTTACTTTGCTCTAATTTTCATCAGGGATTTGAAATCATTCACATGAGCAGAAATTTTGCCAACAGGAGTTGTCTGGTGTATGCGGTGTTTTGTTCTTGCAATAGTTGCATAAAATAACATCACTTTGGTCAGAGAAGGGAAGAGACTGAATTCTCCCCTCTCTTAATATATGCATCATGTATTTAAGTTATGATGCAGGGATGCTACCTGGGATATAGATCAGTCTAATGAATCCATCCTGAAGTAATTCAAATACAAATGAATGGTGGGTTAGGTTATTAGGTGGGTTGCCTAAATATACATAAAATTTAATGCTGATCATAGTTTTTATTTACCGAATCAATTTTAAAATTTCCTGATTTTTTTAGATGATATTCCCTCTAAGTTTGCTGACAATACTAAATAGGAAGGGGTAGACACTTCTTTCCCATGACCAGTGATAGAGCTCAAGGAAATGGCATGAAGTTGAGTCAGGGGAGGTTTAGGTTTGATTTTAGGAAAAGGTTTTTCACCCAGAGGGTGAAAACTGGAACAGGGTCCCCAGGAAAGTTGTCACAACATCAAACCTGACAAAGTTCCAGAAGCATTTGGACAATGCTCTTCGGGACATGGTGAAACTCTTGGGGTGTCCTGTACAGGGCCAGGAGTTGGACTTGATGATCTTGATGGATTCCTTTCAACTCAGCTTATTCTATGATTCTATTCTAAACATATATTTCTTTTATTTGTTTTCTGCTATAGTCTGAAAATTTTTGTGCTTCTGACTGGATGACTATATAATAGAACAAAAGCCAAAAACATATAAAAGATGCTAGCCTTCTAGAGATACAGTGGTTCATGAGATTTGTTTGTTATAAACACAATATAAATAAAGCACAGACAATTAATATTACAGGTAATATGACTCCATGAACAAAACCACATATTCACAGACATATTCATAGCCCCTTTTTGAAAAGGTATTCACAATCTAATTTTCCATTATTTTATCCATTTTGACTCTATTTTGATATCTTCTGTGATTTCAACAAAGTCAGGACTTTAGTGGAAAAAAATTTGAAGAAATTATAGTGAAAAATGCAAATGAGATGTTCAAGATTCTGATTTTGCTGATCTGATTTTGCCATGCTGGTTATAAAGCTCCATACCCCCAAAATTACAGGACATGTAACATACAACGTGCCTTGCCTTTACAAACTCTTACATTTCCATCTGTCGAAAAGATCTTTCCCAAAGTTCTTCCACTACTAAGACCACAGGTACTGACCTTGACCAGATGAAAAAAGTGCCCTGCTATAATCCCTTAGTCAAACCTCAGTATGAATTCAGCATAATCTACATTTTCTTATCAGTTTTTTTTTTTTTAGCAAATCAATTAAGAACCAGTAGTTAGCCCTTTGCACACTTATTATTGTAGATCCATAACAGAGACAAGGTCCACATGTCAAGGTGTAAAGTAAATCTCAAAACACAATAAATCTTGATAACATATGGTGTTATCCCCTTGCTTCCTTGCTCATATTCTCACTTATCTGAGGAAAGGCACAGCAATCTCCTTTCATGTGTTGTTCATCAAAGTGCCTGGTGGTCTTCTAAGTATCACAGAAATATTTTTAATAACAATGGGTCAGAGCTTTAAATGTGCAAAGGGTATGGATGCATTTGTATGAGCCTGGTAATAGATATCTCAGCTGCATTGCTAAGAGAATAAGTTTGGGGCACTCTAAATAAAAGCAGACCTTTGTTTTCTGGGTGGGGGAGTGATTGGAAAAAATGCAAATGCCAACAGCCTGGAGGCTGGAAGCTCTTTTCTTTTTTTTTTTTTTTTTAACTTGGCACTTTATCTCCCACTTCAGAACTTATTAGTAGAAATTATACAATAGACTACACATTCAGTTGACTATTCAGTAGAAACCTTCTCATCTGAAAGCCATTCAGCCTTCTTCCAGAAGGCCCAGAGGTAGATAATTGGTGCCATTGAATTTCATGCAAAATTTGGAATTTGACAGTAGGTCTAGAAATGGATTATTTAGGAAATTATAGACATGGTGGAATGACAAATATCCACACCCAACAGCTGACAGATGCGGTTTCAGATCCTCCATTATTAAAAAGAATAATCCTAGTCTTTCTGGCTAGCAGGATTCTTTGCCATTATGTTGTGATCAGCAGACCCTTGTTCTGGACCATTATGCAGTTTTAGTGATTATTTTAGACTTTCCATGTGGAAAGCAGCTGTCTTGCAGAGTACTCATTCTCTGAGCCTACCCAGTTTGACTGAAGAACCTGCCAATATCTACTTATAGTCAGCAGGGGATGGTCACCTAGAATATCTGGATAACAACAGAAGAGGTGTTCCATTTTTGCTTTAGATTTGACTCTGTGCTGCCATGTTGTGTGCTGATGGACCACTTAGAGTCCTAACCAGCCAACCAGTTCTGTTCATGGAATGTCTATTAAGCGTGAGTTTTCCAGTGCCTGAGTGGTAGAGTCTGTGAACATGCCAGAACCTGGTGACCCACGTTACCTTTCAGTGTCTCCACAGAACTGCCGCACTTAGGCAGCAGTTGGGAAATACTTACCTGTACTGGCATGTTTGAAAGTGCTTGGTACACATCTGGATGGATGATGGATATGGTGTAAGTTGCCTTTTTGTTTGGCTCGTCAAAGCAGGGAAATGATTTCCGTGCATCTGTTGGCTCATGATCAGTAGCTGCAATGCTCCTGAAACAAACAACACATTGGCAAGGTTTCATTATATGGCTTTGAAATCTTGTCTGCAATTTCTAGGCATTTTTTTTAATGATTTCACAAATGAAATCCAACTACAAATATTTGTGCATATTTATCCATTCATAAAAGCAGGTGACATCAAAAATGCAGGAGCTGACATCCACATCTGTCTGTCATCAACATCTTCAAGGTTTCAGAGCAAAAACTAATGCAAATTGCTTATCATCAAATATTTTTAGGAGCCAGGCAATAAGAGAGGCATGACCTCTCATGCATAGTGAAAACTTTGCTCTCCCTCCTGCTGAGCTTTACCATTGATTTATCACCTGAAATAAAGAACTGATGATATCACCTAAAAGGAATAAGTCACTCCAAGACTTGTTTACCCACTACAGGATATCTTGGGATTAGGGCCTTGAACATCTCCTGAAGCGACACCTTGAAACTGTGCAAATGCCAATAAATCTCATCCTGTTTGTGTGTTTCTTTTTCTGCATTTACCACATACAGTTTCCTCCTCTGCTCCTATGCTCCCCTGACTCCATTAGTGAAACTGCTGGAGAAAGCATGGAAAGTTCAGGTGAACATCCTATTACATAACTGATGCTATGCAAACTGTTTTGAGGGGATCAGAAAGTCATCTCAGTTATGCACAACCAGCTGGAGGAGCTAGACAATAAGGGTCATGTAAAAACATAAGGTGAAGGTTCTGAGCGTTCATATTGTGCTTGCTTCTCCCAGTGACATTGGGCTCCCCCATTAATGACCCACACCAGTGGCAGAGCATATTCTCCAGTGATTGATGGTGAAAGGGATCACAGATGCTCCTTCAATTAATCTGGAATGTTGAGCATTTTCTGACAGCACTTCTACAGCTGCTCCAACTATATTAAGGTAGTTTTTCTTTCCAAAAAGTAATTAAAAGTGTACATCATAAATTACAGATTGCAGCAATCCTACAAACTCACTTGACAACCAATTTTTCAAGGTTTCTGTTGCCCTTGGCATTTCCCTGTGATGGTTAAATACTAAACTGGTCATTAGGAACTTGTAGCAGCAAGGGCCATTTACAAACCTGACAGAGGTAATATGTCTGGGCTCTCTCCATTCATGTTCCTTGGAATAGCAGCTCAAAGGTTCATGGGCAGAAAGCATAATGAACATTCACTTTAACATCATTTCAGACTCAACAGAGTTTCTTTTGCTTGGTGCATTCTTTGCTGTCACTCTCTACTTTTCATAGGATTTGAGAGCTATTTCACAATTAAGTTAACTCCAAGCCTCCAGGGCAATGCTTCACAGCTATTGGTTAAAACTTGGCTATATATTTTGACACATTTATGTCTTGTTCCTACAGACTGATAACACTGTGATACATCTGTTGATTTATAAGGTGATAATCCATCTATCCTCATATGTTTGCAGAGGTAGACAGACATTAGGAGTGAAAAACTTCAGCACTACCCTTCCTATAGGCTAGATGATGAGAACTCCAGACTATGGCATGCACAGAAGTGGCAATAGAAACATGAAATGTTGTAATTCACTTTCAAACAACATAATGTAGTTTTTAGATAAGATTTTCTTTACTGCTTGGTGGCTTCTGCTCTTGATGTCCAGACCTTTAAATATGAACTAGAGTCGACAGTTGTAAACATCATAATAATAAGAAGAGAAGATCTGGCTGAGACTGCATCCAGCTGTTCTCAAAATAAAACAGTGATGCATTTAGAACCATGAGGAGTTTTCCTTCCCCTCCCCCCGAAGTACAAGTCATTAGTGTCAAACAACTTCCTTCCTCCCTGAACTAATTAAAGCATTTTTTTCCTAGTCTTCCTTAAAATTCCAACTCATTCCTGCTTCTGAGAAAACTTTCTGCTTCAGGAAGAAAATCAGAAGTGTTACTTTTGTAAACAGAAGAAAATTCTTCCCTTGTCTATTCAATAAAATCCTAAATACATCCCTGTTAGACAGGGGCGAGCCTCTTGTTCTCTCACAGACAACCGAGGGAATTCCTAAAAACAGGAAGCCATAATAGTCTCTAATAGTAGTGCAAAAGCAAAGCCAGCTGCTGTGACATGTTTGTATTATTTTTAATACTAAGGAAAAAATACAAGGGGGCTTTAGCACATTCGTTGAGAGAAGCTAATGACCTGAAAAACCCAGTACACCAGCCAAGGACTCTTCTTTTGCTCCTCTCCATAAGATCTGAAGACAGCACAAGTGTTGTAGTTATACTTAGTGCATCATGCAAAGTAGGGAGGACTGCTATTCCTTTTGCATCAATGGGGAAATGAAATGAGCAGACAGAGGAACAGTTTTACCAAAGGACTTAAGTGCTTACAGCAAGATTTGGGAACCCACAGAAGCATCTAGGCAAGTCTATGTCCAAAATCTACATTTCCAAAGTTTCTGCTTTCCTGTTCCCTACCTGCAGGTGCACATCAATTTAAATAGTCACGATTCCAAGGTATCTCACAATCTGCTTCAGGGCATATCCAAAAGCACCTTTTTCCTGATGGGGATTGAATGATCTGTCTGAACAGGATCCCCAAATGGGGTGCTCTTCTCCCTAAGCCTCTCAAGGAATCTAAGCAACATAGATTATTGAATCTATTTGGATATTTGAATCTAAGCAACAGCAGAGCCTGGACATGTGCCCAGTTTGTAAACCAAAAGCTTTATAGCAATGCTTTGGCAAACCGTTGCCTTCACAGATAAACATCTGGGGAGCAGGTCAGCCCTAGAAGCTGACTTTCAGTGTTATTAAGTCTCTCTAAAGGTGCTGCTGCTTCTAACACTGCACAGAAGGGTTAATTATGTATTGGATCTCCTTCTTGCCTCAGCCCTCTTCTCTTTAACATCCACTATTAACAGACTTGTTTGATCATTGCTGTTACCTGATCTGATTTGTATTTACTTGCAACATGACAACAACAGAACTACTTGGGTTGAAATTTTCCAAGAGTGGTATGTACCTCAGGCAAAGGCAAAATAAAAATGCTCATTCCAATCAGCATTGTTTTTAAGTAGAAAGCTGGGGGAAAATGCATTTTTAATAAGTAATAAAACCCTTCCCTCGCTGTCCTTCCTTACCCCATCCTATCCCCTACCCTCTGCTGCATAGCAACAGCTTGGCTGTTGGTTGCCTTACTTTCAAAGCTGTACTTACCACTATCATGTACATCACCTCTGCAATCTGCCCAAAGTCAATCACATGAAAAATATTTCAGAATTTACTTTTCACTTGTTCTTACTAAAGCCCTTCTCAAACCTAACACACTCACACCCACAATCTCCTTTCTGCATTGAGTTTTCAGACTGCTGGCTAGGATCATCCTTGCAATTGTAGTTTCCAGCATTCAATTCAAGAAGTAGGAACAGTCAAAGTGAGCTCACATTTTATATTTTCTTTAGTTTTAGAGTTCTCCTTTCTTCCTGGTATCAGATGCTTGGCCCTTGTCTACCTGTACTGTCTGGATTTGAGGGACAGGCACTCACCTCTCCTGCTCTGCAACTCAGAAGACCTGTGTTCTGGTCCTCCTGTTCTGGGGTTGTGACAGACCTGGGGCTATACATTTAATATCTAGATATACTTCACCAGTGAAAAGTAACACACCTCAACGTAGAAGGATTCTAGGACTTTGCACTTTAAAACTGCTGTGGAGATGTCAGATGCTCAAAGTATGAAACCAAAGCACCTTTTAAGTCAGAGCAATGCTGAGGTCATATATGGAGGAAAACGAGAGGAAAAGAGCTGTCTGGTGTTCAAGCTGTTCCCTGCATGACTTCTCCACAGGAAAAATCAATGCTTGCTTTATCCTCTACCTCTTGGATCCGCTGCTGCTGGTGCCTGTCACTGCTGCTACTCCTGTCAGTGGCTGAATGGAGCTGACGAGACTCTCTCTCACGACACCATTGTCCCAGGAGGGCAAAGAAATGCCATGAACACATCAGTGTTTGTCTCCATGTTCCTGCTACAGGGCCTCGTAAATGTCTAGCCAAGTTTATCTACCAGCTGTAAAGGCTGGGATAAATCACTTCAGAAATGTAAATATCAGAAAATGGGTGACTGTCCTCTCCATACATTAACTGTGAAGAGCAGCCTTTGAGCAGAGGGCAATGGCTTTTTCAAGCTTCCACCTTGAAGCAGTACAAACCTGGTAAGTGGAATGGGTTAGCTGAACTGGTAGAGACTTTGTAATCATTCAATAACTGTTGATATATTCACAAGAAAGAGATGGAGCACAAAAAAACCAGTAAAAGGTGATCCTAATTGTTTAGGCTTTCCTACGTATAATTTAAACCAGCTGCAAGAGAGACAGGGAAGTTCGGGTTGGAATATTCCTCAGGCTTACAGCATCAAGGAGATATGCTATCACGAAAACTATCAGAAGAACATTTTATACCAAAACTGTTACCTTGGGGATAACAGGAGAGAGTCGTGATAGTTGTATGCTATTTATTGTACTAGAGAGATAAAAACAGGCCTTGATCTCTCCAGCTCCTTGAGGGAGCCATTCAGTTCAAAGGTAAGCTTGGACCAGTAGAGTTTGAAAAGGTTTTTCAGAATATTAATTATAACAAACCCCTCATCTCTCCAGCCCACATTCACTAGTCAGAAGCCAAAGGGCTTTGAATACAACATCCTCCTTAGGGGAATGAGAAAACTAAAGAACAGCCCAGAAACGTCAGTAAGTTGGTGAGAGACAAGACTGAAAAGCTGAAACAGGAATACAGCAGGCCTGAGCAAGTAAAAATAGAGAAGAAAGCTTAATAAATAAAACTGCTTTACTTGATCTGTCCATTCTCAGTATAGGTCGTCCTATAAAACCCAACCAGCGAACCATTCAGCCAGCCTTGAAACTTCAGGGTGAGCACATAGGGATCATTTTCACCAGTGACAGGGAGCTCTGCTGCTGCCTTCATCACAATGTATTCTTGTGGCTTGTACTCAAAGCAGTCATTCAGAGCAATCTGCTGTCCTGAGGATTTCCGGAGTGTGGGTATTTCTGTAACCTTGGTGTCTCGCAGGTGAAGCCACAGGGAGCTGGTTGGTTTTTCCAAAACTATAGATATACTGACTGTCCCACTGTAAGTGTCTTGCTCCATTTCAGGCTTGATTTCCAGATCATAGTGGACAGGCTTGACATAAGTGGGCAGCCTAAACTCTCTCCAGTCTCCAGTGTCATCATTCTTGGAAGGACAGGGACCCAAATCCACTGGGGGAGGAGGCTGTTCCATTGTTGTCGTTGTTGTTGTTGTTGTCGTTGTTGTTGTCGTTGTTGTCGTCTGATCTGGTTTTGGTTGTTGCTCTGTTGCCTCTGAAGCTTTAGGTCTGCTCAATCCCACACCAAGCCCCACAGCAAGTCCTACAACAACCACGACTCCACAGATGATAGCCACATGCTTTTTCTTTATGCAGTACCTCTTGGACTTCTCATCCTCAAAATCCATGTCCTCCATCTCTGCTCCTAGATCTGTTCTCAGAGCAAAATATTAACCACAAAAAAGCTTATTAGTCACTTCAGCAATCAGTAAACTCAGCAGTCTCGGGTCGTATTTTAATTGTGTAGCTATAGCTGTTCTCTGCCTGTCTCCCTCACCTCGCTCTCCGCAAGACACTCAATTAATTAAAGACAACATGCATTTGGAGGAAACGTGAATGATCAAAGCACAGCTGGGCTGGGACACGGAGGGAACTGACACAGAAGAACATTGTTTCTGCCGTGCTCCCCTTATAAGCAGCGCAGCCCCACCCCCAGCCCCTCCTGTTCTGGCCTGAGTTAAATATAAAACAGTGCTATGTTAATCAGCAGTCAGGAGATGATCAGATGCCAAAGCTCTGTCAGCAGCTTTCAGAAAGAGTTTGCAGATGGAGGCAAACCCTCAACCTTCACCACTACCTCTTCCTTTTTTTCCTCTGCTGTGTCTTGTTTAGGTTTTTGAGGTTTGGGCTGGCTTATTTTTCTTCCTCTTACTAACAAAGATTTCCTTGAATTTCCACCCTATAGTTTGTGAAATGACATCTCAAAACTTGCAAAAATCACATATATCTTTCAGCTGTTTCCCCTCTTTTCTGGGCTCATTTACCTTTGACGAGTAACTCAAGGCAGTCACAGACAGATGAATGCACAGTGGAACAATAAATTTTGATCACTGCTTCAAACTTTAAAAGTTGTCTAACTCCTCTCCCCCTCACAGGGCCACTTTTCCAGGAGATTGACCATAACCATGCATGCAAGCTGGTAGCCTGGGACAGCATTGCTTTGTCAGTCAGCACAATTACAGTGCTGCCTGTGAACCCTTGCTGTGAGGGACACTTCTAAGCATGATTTATGCACTAAAGATCTAATTTACCATTTATTGCTTGTCATCACAATGTGACACTTCATTGAAGCAAATTAATTGAATAGAGCCTGATTCTGCTTGAGGGAACTTTTTGTAAGGCTTTGGTAAGCCTGTAAGCAAGATGTTGCTAATGCAGTATGAAACTGAGCACAGTGGTAGTCTTGACCTTGTTTGAAACTGGACTAAAGGAAAATAGTGTAGAATAAAAATGCCAGTCTCTGCATCTCTTTGCCCTATTTCTCCACTTATGTAGTCCACTTGAGTAGATTTTTTAATCAGGCGCATCAGTTTGGCTTTATGCCTCCTGATTTAGTTTATTAGGAGACATAATATTAGGATTATTATCACTTTTATTAATATTAGGATTCTTTTGTTAATATTAAGGTTATTAGAATAGGATTTTATTAATATTAGGATTATTACCATATTAGGATTATTATCACTTTTTACATCAGTTACAACTCTCTGACTACTTAGACTTCCCTTCCCTTCCCTTCCCTTCCCTTCCCTTCCCTTCCCTTCCCTTCCCTTCCCTTCCCTTCCCTTCCCTTCCCTTCCCTTCCCTTTTTTTTCCAGATGGATTTCCACCTGAATGGATTGACTTAGGTTTTAGAATCAGTTAACACATGCTTCAAGTGAGGTGCACTAAGCTGGGGAATTTCACCCAGTCTGTTCAGAAATTGATCTGTTCATAAGCCACACTTCTAAATACTGACCATCACCACAGGGAACTTTAGCCCCCCACTTTGCATCAGCACACTGCTATTTATATATCATCTTGTTTTAAAGGCAAGGGTTTCCTACAGAAGCAGAGAAATAAAATGGTTTGGTTTTTTTTTTTGTTTGGTTGCGGGTTTTTTTGGTTTTTTGGGTTTTTTTCAGATCATCACATTAACTCTTATGTATTTTCAAAAGTGAGAGACTGATGCAAAAAAAAATGAAACAGAAAGCTAAAATCTGTTTCACATTATGCCTGTTTTTATTGTTTCCCATTTCTTTGCTGTGATCAAAACTAGATATGACATGGGAAACCAATGCCCTTTAATGGATTGAGTAAGAATTCAGCTTTTAGCAGCAGGGCCAGCACTGAAGATCATAGTCTTAACATTTAAAACCATTTCATCTTTTCTTTTGTTCTGATTGGGCAGGGCAAGGAAAAAGAGTTACAACAGATTTTAAAGAAGACATCTTTAGACAGAGCAGGCCATATGAGATAAGAAAACAAATTGTCTTAATTTCAGCATGGCTTTTACATCACTCCCGTTTTTATTTTCCTAAGTCATGAGCTTTCCTGTTACATTTTTAACCTGAAGATGAAAAATACTGTTAGAGCTTACAGACTGCAGAGCAAGTTATTTAGTGTAGTTTTGAAGACACTTGAAGATTTCTTCACTGGTAACAATTACCTCTTTCAGGAAGAGCTAAAAAACAAATGTGGATGAGCTAGTCCAAAACAGCAACTATATATGTATTTCTTATCCTAAGCCTTGAAGGTAACACTAGTACTAAAGTCCATTACAAGTTGTCAGTCAGGAGCAGTAGTGTAGTTTTACACAAGTTGTAGCATTGATCTTCTCATTGTAATAACTGAGAATCCAACCTGGTTGCAGCCAAAACTAGATATATTTCTGGGATGGGTGGCTATGAGCAGGCTAAGTCCTCCCACATCCGAAACGTGCTGTGTTACTGACACTCCTGCAGCCAGCCAGCAGTGCTGCAAGCTCCCTGCTGCCAGTGACCCAATACACATGGCCAAGGACAAACAGGGCCCAAAGTGTTAATTCCTCTACACAGTAGAGGAATTCCTTCTCCTCCAATGCAGGAGGGAGGGCTCCCAGAAGCACTGCTAAGCATTCCCCCTGTTTGGCTGTCTCCAGGCCGAAGGGGGAAGGGAACAGGATCTACCTCCCCAAAGAGGAGAACACAGTGGCCGTCATGGACAAGGTTAGATACTTTGTTTACCCTCTCCCCACCTGCATAAAATGGTGGATACTCATCTGAAAAGTCAAGGAAGGCTTCCTCCGAACTGCTCCAACACAAGCTACAAGCACGACTGCAGACACGTGTTGGCCAAGCCTGGATTGCTTAGATTGCTTTAGTTTAACATCTAGAAATGAGATTTAAACCATCTTTGCAGTCGCCTGAGCAGTGCTAACACCTGTTATAATTTGTTTGGTCTTGATTTTTTTATCCAATCAATTTCACTTCAAGCTAGGATTTAGTTCCCAGTTTACACCAGAATTACCACAACTAGCTTAATGCTGCCCCTTTGGATACCTAAAATGTAGGGGGTACAGAATCACAATGCTCTGCCATGACATTGCTGTGTGAACATGTATTCTTGTAGGAACAATACCCAGATAACTTTTCAGACAACTACCAGGAATGTAATGAATCCTAATTTTTATCCACAAATTTTCAGCCATTCATTTCCAATGCAATTTCCAATTTTAAGTGTGGAAAGTAGAAAAAATTGCTGCAAGTGACAGCCAGGATCAACACTAGGAAAGGTCTGCTCCAGGCCCTCAAGGAGACGTTAGATAGTCCCAGGATATCCTTAATTGAAGCTGACAATGAGAAAAGAGCTGCTCTGGAAAGCATCAAAGACATGAAAATAAATGAAATATATTAAAAAAAAAAACCAAAAAAAACAAAAAAAAAAAAAACCAGAAAAACTCCGCTGCAACTCACAACAAATGAAACTCCTCTGAGCCAAGTCATCCTTGGAATAATATCAAACACTTACTGGGCCAAGGCCAAGGAGCTCTTTTTCTCCCTGTGTCTAGGGACTTAAAGGCAACAGGAGGGCAGCAGAGTCTAAGGACCTCTGATTCCCATCTGCTCTTTGAGGTGCCCTTACTGCAAGATTTTGGAATAATAAATGGATCCTTTCTGCCTCCAGCAGGAGGAATTTGTCTCTCTTTATGCTAAAACAACACTCCTTCGATTTTTCATTGCAAAATAAGAAGACATGAAGCAATCTGCTGTTGTGACTGCTTTCTGGCACAGCTGCATTTGTAGATTTCTCCCCTGTGGCCCTCTACCAAAAAAATCTTTAGGAAATTAATTTCAGAAATATGAAACTGGTTAGAGTGTTGTTCCACCAGGTCAGAAATAAATATTGTCAGAAATTATTCCCCTGTCCAGTGTTTTCCTATGTCTGTAATGACTGATTTTGTTTCTATCTTTTGGCTTTGAATCCTCTAGCAATCATTAATCCCCTAGAGTTCACAAGTCTTTGTAATTACTGGCTTGCAGTGATACTTGTTCCACTCACAATCTTTTCTATGACAGTTTTTAACTCCAAAACAAGTTCTTTTGGTTTGCTGTTGTTTCGAAGTGCAAATGTTTTGAACTGACTTGAGAAAGTCAGGATCTGTTTAGCCATAATTGTTTTCCCATTCAGATCTTTAAAATCTGGACTCAGTTTGTGGGATGCTGTTAGATGCAGTGCCCTATTGCAGTGACCTGAGTGGGTCGCTGGGGGTGAGAGAAAGATGAGAATCTTGTTTCTTGATCAGAAGGCTGGATTTATTGATATATGATATATAATACATTATAACTATACTAATAAGAAATAAAGAGAGAAGTTGCAGAGGCTGCTAAGCTAAGAATAGAAAGAAAGAATCTCTAACAAAGTTCTGTGTCCCGGGAATCTTTCCCGAGCTTGCTCCTGTGATTGGCCCTTAACGGTACACATGGAACAAGAACCAATCACAGGTGCATCCCATTGCATTGCACAACAGCTGATAACAATTGTTTACATTCTCTTCTGGGGTCCTTGCTTCCCAGAAGATGCACGAATCTGAAGGAAAGGATTTCTATGAAAAAATGTCTGCGACAGAGCCCTGGGAGGACTGTATTATTTCCTGCTGCAGACTGACAAGTTCTGTCTGTAACACACCAGATGAAGTGCAGTGCAGCCCCACAATTTTTCTGGGTTCTGCAGTATTCCCCCAGCAGGTCAGTGCTAGAAGTATTTATCACTAGGGCTGAGGCTGGGGGAGTTACCTCAAAGCCTGTTCTCAGTGAAGTACTGTGAGTTATCATTAGCAGAGGCTTTGTTTTCTTCCTCTATTTTTTTAATGTTTCAAGTTCCTGGATGTAGATTCTGT